TTACCCGCGTGGCTTCATTCTGTGTGTGTATTCAAGTTTCATCAGCTGACTGTTTGAATTGGTAAGCATTCTAAGTCCATAATCTATCACGGACAGGATTACATGCCAGAACACTGTGAACAGCATTCTTTGTTCCATGTCCATTGCTGCCATAATCTTGAGAGAATTTTGTCTTTTTTTGGGCATTTGAGCACAACTGCCTCCACGTGATCCCTATAGGACAGACTTCTATCGAAAGTGATACCCGGGTACCTCAGTTTGCTTTTTCATGTTATTGTTATTAATTGTGAGGCCTGGAACATTAGCTCATACAATTCTATTGTCCAGATTTAGCTACAGTCCTAGTTGTAACATGAACTCATTATGTCTGAGAGCATAGTGTTCAGGAAGGCTAAGTATGATTAAATTTTTTAAAGCGTTTAGGGAGGTTTTACTGTTAAATACATTGTATTTTTTAGCTTCTTTGACATCGTAATTTGTATTTAGTCTGAGCAATCAAATTTTTTTTTTTTTTTTTTTTTTTTTTTTACGTATCCAGAAACCATGAGTTGTAAACCCTTTGGCTCGGTACTATGGATATCGCAACCCTTCGGCCTTGATTCCATTATAGGTACCGTTAATCTGGGAGAAATGTGGCTTTTCTGCCTACCCCCGGGAGTGAACCCGGACCACAAGGAGTTCGTCACCCGGCCGCCGCGAAAGTCAGGTTTAACCAACTTCGCTAGAGATGTAGTCGTGGTATGAATAAACTTACACATTTATTAGGGCCTAAGGCAGCGGTTTCCAACCTGCAGGTTGCGACCCTTTTGTCGGTTAAATGAGCCTTTCACAGGAGGGTCACCTTAGATTATCGGATAACACATTTTCATTGAAGTTATGAAGGAAAATAATTGTCTGGGGTCGACACAACATGAGGGAACTGTATTAAAGGGTGGCCTCATTAGGAAGGTTGAGAGCCACTGGTCTAAGGGAAATGTAACTGACTGAATTCTTCACCCCGCAAGTGTTTTTTACTCCCCTTAACATATTTCTAAAAACAAATTCAAATATACAACCTGTGTAAAATGGTTGTTTTTTAAGTATTTATTAGCCCAGAAATACTTGGGTTTCTAGACCCCACTCCAGGTTTCCAGGGAGAAAGTGTTAATGATGACCACTTTCTCACACAATAATTCTCTGTCATGGCCAACTGTTAAATTAGCTACTAAGTCCTAGATATGTAATGAATTCATTCTTTCTGAGTCAGTTATTACCTCTATCACATTTGCTTGTTTACCTCCTCCTATACCAGACAATTATTACTCTTCACTGACCCAAAAGCCACTGATGAAATTAACTGCTAAAGATAAAAAGATTTAATACTGATCACCCACCACCCCACTCCCTTTATTCCCTTCTTCTTTTGCTTCAACTTTTAATTAGTATCCTATATTTGCTACCATTCCAGCAATTCTCTTGTTTAGTTCAAAAACTGTCAGCGGCTCCACCTTATTGTCAGGCCGCATTGAAAACCATCTTCACTGCTTCACTACAAGGTAACACCAGATAGTTGTCTCTCAACTTCCTTCAAGTCCAAAAAGGTGGATGAATGTTGTGCTTAATTCCAAACAAATATTCAGTTAAGGAAGAGTTCAGTGAAGAAAGTCCATGGTGGAATGGTCGAGTCACTCGTCCTGGATTTTTCTCTTTTTCTGTTTATTTTTGTCTGCACTGTTTGATCCTCTGGCGCATTTTTTAGATGCCGTGGATTGTTGCTGGGTTATAGAATCAAAGCCCTGCGCAAAACTTTCGACCCGGCCAGTCCCTCTACAGAGGCAGACAGACCATCATCACGTCACTCTGATCGCGGTCTTCCTGAAAGAAACTCGGTCTCTCGCCAGTTCTCCCGCCTCATATACTTTCATACTCAAGAAGTCACTTATATCCTGTGCCCATCTTCATGTTGGTCAGCCCCTGCCCCTCCTTCCTGGCACCATACCTTCTGCGATTATTTGTTTTCTAATCAGTCAGAGAGATTATCTAAAACCTGGTATAATTAAGTGAATCCCTTCATTAATAAACGTCTCTTTAAAACCTGGTATAATTAGGTAAATCACTTCACTAATAACCATCTCTTTAAAACCTGGTATAATTAGGCAAATACCTTCATTAATAACCATCTCTTTAAAACCTGGTATAATTAGGCAAATACCTTCATTAATAACCATCTCTTTAAAACCTGGTATAATTAGGCAAATACCTTCATTAATAACCATCTCTTTAAAACCTGGTATAATTAGGCAAATACCTTCATTAATAACCATCTCTTTAAAACCTGGTATAATTAGGCAAATACCTTCATTAATAACCATTTCTTTAACATCTGGTATATTTAAGTAAATCCCTTCATTATAAAAATAACCATCTGTTTAGAAATCAACATCTACTTTTTAAAAACCGTTTGCTGACATCTCCTAGTCAGTAATAAACAGCTGTTGATGACAGCTATGAAAAATACACAAAAACAATTAGCAATAAGAAAGGCACTTAACATAAAATTATATGCGCTATTTAAGTCTTCACTTTGCAAAATTAAATTTCACAGATTAAAAACAAGCTGTATACAGGAGATACAACCAGTGAAGAAATGATTCAAAGTTTTCTTTAATTATTTTTCAAAGAAATAAAATGCAGTTTTAATTTAAATACAATAAAATACTATCTTTTAATTTTCTAAATATTGTTTCATTCTGATTATTTTTTAAATAATGATTAAACCCACAAGTCCATTAATATATATTACAATATCTTTAATTATTTGAAGAAACTCATTTATCTTTAAAATAGTGCTCGAATCATTAAAATTATACTTAAAATAGACAAATCTAAAGCTAAAATTATAGACACAATTGTGGTTGCTAAAATTTTTTTTTTTAAAGTGCCAATATCTGCTATTTGTATCCCCTAGTTAATGAGTTTAGTTACACCTCCTTCAAACATGCGTCTTTAGAAAGGTAATAAAGAAAAGGAGTTGATGATATCTCTCTCTCTTCTCTCTCTCACTCCTAAAAACACATTTACAGAACATCAATTCATCAGCACATTTAGTGAACCGAAAAATATCATTTCAAAGGCCAAAAGCCATCATGACTAGACACAGGTATAGATTTACAGTTTTTAATATAACATTTAACATGTAAGTACTCAATAAATTTTCCTAGGTTTAGCACATTTCTCTCTAAATTTCCTTCTGTATGTTGTATAAGTTTAACTGTCACCCAGAAAAAGCCGTTTTTCTGGCATTTATGGGTTTTTGATGACATAAAGTCTTTGGGCAGTGGTCACTGACCATATATAAATGGTCTGGTACTGGCTGCAACTGGATATTGTGTAGGTGTGGTGGGCATGATTCTATTTAGAAAAAAATTGCTTCCGATTTTATTTGGGGGTGAAAAATCTTGTTATTGTCACGTAAAAAAAAAAAATACTTATGTGAGTCGCTTGTTAACATGCTAGTACATTCGGTCCAACAAACTGTCCTTAAAAAGGCATGTCATAAAATTAAGTATTTGCTGAAATCAGATGCGCTGGCTGAAAAAGCACCGATATTGAAGCCTAGCTGTAAACCACAACATGCCAACCACCCTTTTAAGGGTGAAAACAAACAAGAAGAACCTGTCATGTTAATTTTTCATTTTTAAATAAACCCTGGTTCTATATGTTAGAAACACATTTTACCATCCCCTTGAACCCTCATTTATTGTTTATGTATGCACTGTATATTGGGGGGGGGGGGGGGGGGGGGGGGATGTAGACGCGCCGTGATGTAGCGGCTAGATGCTTGTCTGCAGATCCGAAGGTTGTGTGTGGGTTCAGATGTAGACAGAGATAAACTTTTTTTTTCTTCTTAAAAAATGACTTGGCTCCCAGGATGACCAGACCTTAAACAGGTACCAGATGAAGCCCTGGGAGGTGGCAGCCGGCGTGATGTTGACGACATCTCCCACCAAGTGCCGACAGTCTATAATATATAGGTCTAGCCCTATATGTTCAATACACCTGAAGGCATGGAAAAGGGTCCTTAAACAGTTTATATTTTGAGGTTTGAGGTCCTCAGGTGTGTGTGTGTGTGTGTGTGTGCGTGCACCCTTGTCAACAGAGACACATTTTACAACCACCCAATGGGCATCTCCCAAAGAAGGAAAAAAAAAACCAAGAAAGATGGAGAATACTGACAGCTCTGTGATATTCCCAAAAGTCTAAAATTTAGATAAGATGAAAATATATTCTAAACAACCATTAAGACAAAAAGAGCCACTGTTGTACAAGGTGACTAATTAGAGAAGTTTCCTTTGAAGTCAGAGTGCACCTGTCTGAGAGGTAAAGAACCAACAGCATGAGTACAATTAAGCCAGATCTGTAAAACATATGTGCATGCAAAAACCCAAGTTCTGGAACAAGACCAAAGTCCAGATATCGACGAACAACCAGAACCTTCCGCTAGTGAACGCTAAGAAAAAGAAGACCAGGCAATTTTACATTCAATAGTTTGCCACTGCATCCGAATGGTCAGGGGTTCCATACCACTGTTGAAATCAATGGAAAGCATTCTGTTACCAAATCGCCCTATCAACTTTCCTAAGTATTTGGGAATCCCAAATACCTGATGTATTATGACTCAAAGATTACTGTATACAGCTGGTGCACCAGACCCAAATGAAACCTAATACTAACAAATACGTATTATAACAAACACAAGAATGCTCTGCTAACAGTCACTGACTGTATCAACAAAACATCCCAGACTAAAACCTAAAGACTGAAACAAAATCAGCAAAACAGCAGGTAAATACAACATTTGTGTGTATCTAACACCTCAAGTGAGAACATTTAATCTGTAAATATTTACACCTTTCTCAATAAATGTATAACTTATTTTGCATATACCTCCTTTCACAAACATCAAGCTTGCGGTATTTCATAAATTATTTGACTAATACTATAATAACTATAATATCTTGCTATTTTTGCCATGGTTTCTTGTCAATTCCTTTACTTTTAGGATAATGTTGCCATTTACATTCACCTCCAAATGTGCAGCCTGTAGTTCTCCAGAAGTAGCACTCGTCCCCGTTCACTGGACCTGTCTGTTTTGGTATGTTTCTAACCCTGATGAAGAGAAACACAAATTGTATTGTTTAGAAAGTAGAAGACGTATGTACAATGTGATATGTGATTTAACTGAAAAATGAATGACATACACCATAAACAGATTTTTAAAAAGCATTAAAAAGATGTCCTGAAAGAAACTAACCCAGGAGGGGGAAAAATAATCACCTGCTTTAGAAAGAGACAATCTGCATTCTTTTGGCATATAGAAGGAAGGGGAAAACTTGAGTAGGCCATGACAGAGGATAAATTAGAGAAATAATGGCAGAGAAAACCAAAAGAGAAGATTTTGGACAGTTTGGAATCTTGATATGGTAGTACATCTGTATCAGAAATGACTGAAAGAATACAATATAGAAAAATGTGGACAGGCATAAATAATTACCAATGCCATACAGCATGGACCATAAGGTAAAAAACATATGTGACCATAAACAATACATTGCACAGCTTATTGCCTGGTATATTTCACGGTATCTTGTCAGGTGCACTACTACAGAGTTAAAACAACATTTAGTAAAGCACAATTCTTTTTGCTGAAACCACATTGCTGTTTTACTGTACATCTCTCCACCAGAGATTCAAGATCAGACATGCGACCACCATTTGCGACTCAGAACTGAGTAAATTACCTTTTTGTTTACATCACATAGAAGAGTTATGTTTTATTGCTACAGCTTCAACCAGTTTTAGCAATCGTCTATTTAATCAATTGTGCAAGATATTATTTGTGTCCACATTATTTAAAATAGGGATGAGTTTAGAATGAAAGTCTATAATGGTTAACAACTAGTCCGAAGCAACACTACAAGACATAACACAACCTAAAAGATAATCAGCAAAGAAAGGACCCCAGAAAAAAAGATTAGATGACAAGACTTACAGGAACAGAAAGTCCCCTAGTTCCGTTGCTGCACAGAGATGTGCCGGCTTAATAACATTCTATGAGACTCCATGTGTAACCATTAGAAAGAGTGATGTGTTTACATCATAGCATACATTCAAAAATTAGTATGGATTTACATTCTAAGCCACAACATTTGTTATTAGAAGATTATGAAGAAAGATTATCAAAACCACACCACACACATGATCATCAGGGCAGTTTACATCAAAGCCTGAGCATAAACAAATGATGAAGGAAGACCATTACTGTAAAACTCAGCATGCATGATCAATGAGTCAGTCTATACAAAAGCCTGAATATTATAAAATGATGAAGTAAGGCTATTACTGTACATCACAACAGTATTACTGTACATCACAACAAACATCGGGACATTCGACATAGCACAATAAGTTACTTATGAAATGATGAGAACATTCTCACATTCTTCGTCTTCTGTGCTTGCTCCATTGTCAGCAAACCACTAATCTGTCACCTCTTACAACAAGCTTGTTATTGAACCAGGGGTCTAATTCCCCCATCCCCCCCCCCCCCCCCCCATCCCCTGGGTAAAAAATGGGGTCCCAGAACCCACAGGGGAAGGTCTCACATTCTGCATCAGGAGTACATAGTCTCATGCAGGACCAACAGGCACAGCAAGATTACATCACTGAAAACAAAAGTATGCCTACCTATTATATTGCATCTTCAATGCGACTACTTTAGGTAAAAATAAATGTCAAAACTGGATGTAATCTCATTTTTTAAGGTTTATATAAAAATTTTCTCAGATTGGCCAAGAAACTTCCTCAGTTTACTAACAAATTAAAATGATCACAAGACTTTTGCTTACAGCCTACGTTAAACCAAGAAAGTTACCAACACAGTCAAAGAAACAATGTCAAAAACTATAAAACTAAGGCAAAGAATAGGATGTCACGGACAGATAGTAATGGTATATAATGCACATGGGATATCTAGAAGGATTAAAATGTGTGTTTTCAAACATGAGCCTCTCGTTGAAGTCATGTCGCTTGAACAAGCCAGTCAATTATAAGTTGTTCCTATCTTTCCTTTTTGTTTCTATTTGTAGCTAACTCAATTTAATAAACTGGAAATGACATAAGTACTGAAATGAGAAACAAATGGGTTAAGGAAATAAGGATGTCCAATAGACACCCTAAACAAACACAGATAAGAGAAGCCAAAGGTGTTGGGACTGAATTCAATCCATGGTATAAACGCAATGGAGGATTAGACTGCTACCCTATGTGGCACATCATGATGTCATGACAATTTCTCAGTATTATGTCTGTGACTGGCCTGAATGGTGTACTAAACATGTGGGTTCCGAGCATCCCTTGTAGAGATCAAAGAACAGACCCATCGCCCCTTAACAAGCATGTCATGGGAAGTCACTAAATAGGGCTGTTTGCTTCAAAGTCAGAGTGCATCTGCCTCAGGTGCAAGAAACAAAAATATGCATACAAATAAGCCAGATATGTAAAATGGATGTGCATGCAAAAGTTCTGGATCAAGACCAAAGTCCAGAAGTAGACAACCAGAACAGCGTTTATAGCCAGTGAACCCTAAGAAGAAGAAGAAGAAGAAGAAGAAGAAAGAAGAAGAAGAATGGTGCACTAGTTCCTCAGTAGTAGTGGCCAGGTGGTTAGGACACTGGCCTGTCAACTGGTGGTTAAAATATAAATTATATAATGAAAGAATATGAACTACGCTGTTAAAATTACATTATGTGTGAGAGTGTTCATGTCTATACAATCATGGTTAACTGTATTCTACCATACGTCAATGTGGCAGGATATGGTGCTGCCCTTATAAAAACAATACTGTGTATATAAAATGTACTCAGATTTATTTCCTACTTATGTGATATTCACTGTAAAGTAATTTTATTCCTAGTTATTCTTTATTTCTTCCATTATTAATCATTTATTTAATGCAGTTAATTATTGTATTTTTAAATATTTCATACCTAAGATTGTCCATGGAAACAATTTATAAGAACAATGCAAAACAATTACATTCTGATCTATTTATAAATTATCTATGTTTTCATTGCTTTTGTTAAATACTCTGTTACAACATAATCATGCATGCATACTTATTACATTATATAAATGTGGGTGTGTGTGTGTGTGCGAGTGAGAGAGAGAGGGGGGAGAGAGAGAGAGAGAGTCAGACAGAGAGACAGAGAGAGACAGAGAGAGGCAAATTTCTCATTTTCATGATTTCTTTAGGTAGTTTTAAAGATTTATAAAATACATCAGAAGCTCTACAATGACAAAGAGTACAAAAAGAACACCACATTTGCATATACTACAACTGAAAGACTTTTTATGCTTCACATGTGCCAGCAAAGTGTCAGCAATATAAACAGCAAGCATCCACAGGTACATATTGGTGAAATGCTAGAATGTACTGCAGAGTGCTACAGCTATATAAGTCCATCACCACAGAGGGAAATTTCTCAACGATAAAAAAATTTAGTGCTACGAGATTGTTGTAATCTTATAGTCCAAGAGTTAAAGTTTCTTCTAGTTTCTTCTAGTGGTCATAGCGCAGGTGAAAGGTTCACACAGCGGCCACCGGTCGGGTCTGTTACCTGGGATACCAGCTAATTGAATGCTGGGCGATTAACACAAAGGCTCCTGCAGAACACAAAGGATTCGGCAGTTGAGATATTTCCATTGTCCAAGTCGGACGTGTTTCCGCGGGGTTAGCGGAAACTGTGTTGGCTCTCTGTATGAGGATATTATAGAAACGTTTTCTCTTTGTGAGGTTTTGATTTACCGTTGTTTGCGGGAGACAGTTCAATGTCTATTTACTTATTTTAATGGCAGGAGCCCATTGAGAAAAAGCTGCTGTAATCTTTTATATCATCAGAATAGATAATGGAGATTTATTATCGTACATGTTTTATTGAATAATCATCATCATCTTGTGACGTGTAACTTTAATGCCATTAAAGTTTATGTGGCCTGTCACAAGCGTTATTGTTGGCTTGTAAAGGTAGCGACTGTATTACATGATGCTGTGTCGGTGCCAAGTGTGCCAGTTATAGAATGCAGGACTTCACTGTAGCACATCCATCAAGGAGATATCCAGCGGAATACTAGAATAGGCACCCTAGGCCTAAATACTTGGTTGAATATAAAGTATACAAAAGAATGTACAAATTAAGTGTACAACAGTGGATGGCCAAGCCGGTCCTTTGATGGATTTATAAACAGTGTTGATTTATCCAGTGTTCGTGCTACTGACTGATAATCGCTTGAACGAATACATTTAACTGTTCGCACATAGACGTTATAAATTAACGGATCCTGAAAGGAGTTATAAACTATTTTTTTAAAGTGTATGCAGTGCTAACGAGTGTTTCTAGCAGCTTTACGAACTTATCGGACATAGGTGAACTAACAGTAGGCCTTAATTGATTTACAGCTGTATAAAGTGCTGGTGACATTAGCAGTGTTATTTGACTCTATAGAATTACTTGTTTTTTTCGGCCGTAATTGACATTCTTCAACGGAGTTCAGCAGTGGATGCTTGAGTTTCGCATCATTACTACTAGGTCCCTGTTCACAGTACGTCGCCTAAGGATCGCAGTACGTCGCCTAAGGATCGCAGTACGTCGCCTAAGGATCGCAGTACGACGCCTGAGGATCGCAGTACGACGCCTGAGGATCGCAGTACGACGCCTAAGGATAGCAGTACGACGCCTAAGGATCGCATCTGTGGATTTAAATCGGGTAATGTTTTTTGTTGACGGATGGGAGTTGTTTTGTGTGCTCGTTTCGTCTCACAACATATCCGAGGTGTTAGAGTGAATGATTATCATCCATGTTTTCTGTTATTTGTAACTTTAATATATCAGCTCATTGAGTTTGGGATGACATATTAGTTCTTTTCTTCAGCTTTTCTTGTCAAATTGGCGGCTCTGATATAGAGGATATGCAAATATTCGTGGCCTTTCTGACAATTAGTCGCTAAAATTGTATGCATTAAGTGTGTTTCCGTCGTCACGTCATTGGTGTGCTCTTCTGTTTACTTTTCATGATTTCTTTTTTATAACAGGCTTGTGTGGTGTCAACTT